TTTCCAGTGAATTAATTCCATGGTTACTCAAGAAAGTGTTTCAGGGCCCCTTTAACACTTTTCCATGCAAATACCAGAACATTTTTTCTTCCCAGCAGCTGTCTTTCCTATTGTTTAGTCCCACTTTGAACTAATTTACAAACCACTGAGTTGCTATTAACTACAGTGCCACTGCATGTCTGCATGTCGTACAGCAAAGCTGTAGATTTTTATGTTACACTGCGTTATTTATAGGTGTAGGGTAAAACGTTGGTAAAATAAAAAAAGACTATGTAAAGTAGAAACATTTTGACTAGACTGTAGGGTACTTTCCAAGAATTGGTCGGCAACACTGGTTGTATGGTAGAGCCGATCTTTCAACAAGTGTTTTTCTCAAAGGTGGAACTGAAATTAAGTATAAGATATACTCTGTGTAGTTTTCAGCAGGAGGGTTGTTTTCTATTTTTATTTCATTTCTTGCAGATCGAATACCCTACTCAAAGAATAAAAAGGTATCGGGGGTATTCACTTGATGTCATCCGCAAGGTGCGCTATCGTCGTTCCCGGATGCCGCTATCTTGGCGGTCTCGATGGTTCGATGCGCTTGCGGTGGCTGCGGTGACACTGTGGAGCTATCTGATTTTTTCTGTTTTCTTGGTGCACGTGTGGACTGCAATGAATTTAAGCACGTGCGCACGTGAGTCAGATAAACCTGCGCAACAGTGCTACCTGGAGAAACCGAGTCTGTGCAGTGGCATTGACCCACTCAAACTTCAAGTCGTTGAACTCCAACGCGATGATGAACTGCTGCCATGGGTCGACTTCACCGACATAAAGAAGACAATTTTGTTCACCCGAAAAGGTTTGTGTCCCATGAGCAACTAAAAGGTTACAAATCCATGGAGAGTCACAACTATTTTACAAGGGGATGGGTGCAGCAGCTGGGCATGACGTCTTTCCCAAACGGCACGATTATAGCGGTAGCCGGAAAGGTAACTTCCCTCATCCACTTGAATCGCGTTTATGGCACCGTGCGAGCGTTGTGTCGATACTGTAAACACGGTACGGGACTGTCATGGCAGGAAAGAGATCACAGCAATTGCTGCAGCGACTGTTTCTCCTCAATAAACGCTGTGTAACCATGCTCACTGGTGTGTAGCCGAGCGATCGCAGCTGTTTAATGCAGACGTGAAAGTTCTGCTATACAGCACGATCACTGTTGTCGAAAAAGTAAGCAGACTTTCCGTTTATTTCTAATCACGTCTTTTCTGTCTTGCTAGCACCAGTGAATACGGTAAGCACAGTCACGGGATGGCAGGGCAGGATGTATCGAAAGTTAATGCAGCGAAACCACTCCGTCCTTTGCCATGCCGTTACCTCTGAGGTCTTTTAGCATTAACTTTCTAGCACCTTTGGTGTAATAAAAAAAAAAAGAACGCCCCTCCGTAGCACAATACTGATCCCCAGGCTTCTTTTTCGCCTGGTTGTTACAACCAAATATGGCACAGTTCATCATTGTCGCTACTGGCTGGCGTGCAACCACAGCTTGTACCACCTCTTCGCAAATGCAAGAAAATCCGTTCAAAGACTTTTCACGTAATAAATACGCACAAGACATTGTTGCGTGTCTTGTGCATATGTATGTACGTATGTGCGTATATAAGATGGTTGCACGGTCCCATTGGGCTCTATCACGCCTGCTAACAAAAAGGTAAGCTCACGCCTGCTAATATAAAGGTAACTCACCCTAAAGATAATTTTAGGGTGAGTTAGACGGCTGGCGCGAATGCTCTCAGCGTGCTGTCTGCCGAGTAAGCGCTCTGGTCACGAATGGGCATCTGCTATGCCAGACCAATACAGGTGGCGCCAGGTTCGAGAAGAGAGTGCGAAGGAGAGGAGACCGAGGAAAAACGAGAGCCGAGGAGAAGAGTGTTGCTACTTTACGAAGTTCTAGGGGCTTTAGGCATGCCAATTCTTTCGCCAGTGCAGGGGGGGGGGGGGCGGGGCAAAACTACCACACTCGTCGGGCGGGATGTATATATATCAGAAGAAATTCATCAACGCACTCGCATTTTGATATGAACTTGCATACACAGAGGTGACACGATGCGCATTCTTAGATACCACGAGGTTCAATCACACTTTAACCGGCAGAGGAATGGTGCACTTTGCCCAATTTCCGCGTTCAATATGAGACGCTCATCTTGCTATCACACCTCTTTCTCTGAATATGCTTAGGTGGTTAAGATCTAAAGATACTACAATGTTTGTTTAATAAATTTATCACGGATGTTAAGTCATCGGGATCAAGATGTACCAAGTGTCGACGAGGTTACATACATACAACACCGAAACATATATTCGGGGAACCCTCCTTTATCAATGTACAGTAAACATTTAATTACCCCTGTAAAGGCACGTTTTACTTTCGCGTTATATGCAGATTCCTCTGAGGGAGGGATCAACCATGTTTTTTCAATGAATGATTGCTGTTATATTTTTCATATTAAGTATTACATTTTCTTGCATATATTCAGGCATGTGTGTTATGATTTGCCTCATTTGCTAATAGTCTGAACACTGTATCTAGAGCGTGCCATTATTATTAATATTGCTATTGTTATGTTACTGTTTATTAACTTATCAACTTGTCAACTTTTTTCTTTAAAAATGTACAATTTGTGGTGTTAAAAGTAAAGTACATTGTTTCTACTCATTTTCTTTGTATTAAAATTTATTAATGGGCCCCCAGGCACCTGCATAAATACGCCAATACAAATGGTGTAAACAAAATTTTCCTTTGATAAAACAAAATGTGGGTGATTATGTGTAACCTTAAACTATCCCTTGTTGCTTTCTTTCAAAATAGTCGTTAGCTGTATATGATTGGTGTAAACAGTCTGTCATGCACACAGCACCAGCATGTTACGCAAGACAACCAATGACTCGAAAATAACCTATAGCGTAATGAACACTTATACGCAACCATGTAAAGAATAAGCAAATAAAGTATTTTTGATATGGCATATTGTTTGCCATTGGTTCTATGGCATTTAAAGTTTTCTGTGAACCACAAAATCGCCTGCTTGTTACATGACATCATGAAGCTAGAGAGCATCTCCTTCTAAATGTAATTCATGTAGGTTAGCTGCCAATTGCATAACCAGCAGCTACATATAGCTGCTGGCGAGACGAGTTTAACAAAATATTTCCACTTGCAGCGTAATGGTGTTTAGCACTTTGTGTGCGTATACATAGCTCATACTTGTTGATTATATGTGGGGTTTAACATCCCAAAACCACCATATGATTATGAGAGATGCCGTAGTGGAGGGCTCTGGAAATTTCGACCAGCTGGGGTTCTTTAACGTGCACCCAAATCTGAGCACACATAGCTTATACTTGTGAGAGAAGAAGAGGAATAGAGAGAAATAAGCAGTGCTACACGTGTGTGCTTCATTGCTCTCCGAGATATATTTTGAGCTGTAAAGGACAATTCAAGTTGAGTGAAAACCAACTAGCCCGACTCTTAACTAAGCCTCCATAGTGCTAAAAACCATGGTATTACACCTTCTCCCTGGTCCGGTGGGTCAAGTTGTGGGGCAAGCTTAGAAGCTGAGCTTCCTACTAAGCTCGAGTCCACTGCTTTGCCACTATGCAAGCTGTCGCTATGGCTCCAAGTTACCATAAGCAAACTTATTAGGTTTATCATAGACTAAAGTGGAAACAATTTTTGCCGTTTTAGTACGAAAAAACTTCCGTCAAAAATGATTTGTCACACTCATCGGCTTGTAACAACTTCGACAGAGCAGCAGTGATGATATATCCTTACCGAAGAAAATTATTTTCCGAAAGCAGCAAATGCTTTGACCGGTCCATAAAAAGTTTGCTCCTTCCTATCCTTAACTCCATCAACAAGTCACATCAGAACAAAAGCATGAACAAGTGATGTAATATTACAGGGCCCCTTTTCAGCGCTTGCATGCTCTGAAATACTACAACACAAGATGTGAAAGTGTAGCATAGGCGACTCGCACCGCAAAGAGCCTTCAAGGAAAATCATCACAGCGGAAATGTTGGCGAAATATCCCTATATTGTAACGTTGCCTCATAACATTTTCATTCTCCCATAAGAACATAATTGAGCGATTACTGTTGTGATGGAAAACTTCGCCTTACTTCTTGGTTTCTCCAGTGTGCAGCCAAGAGTGACCACTGCCGAAAGTGGGGAGGCTCACGCTTCCCTTGACCGCTTTGGCTGATTTGCCTATGCTTGCACATAAGGCAAGAGGGGACAAACCGGCAGCCCGAGCGTGAAAGGTGGCGGGGAAGACGACAATTACTGTAATGCCAGCGTTTGGGGTTGAAGCTGCTCGGTGAAGAGAGGCACCCCACTGCGTGGATGCAGCGATGACCACGCACCACGCTCGCAAGGCCGTTTGCCGGTATTAAATGTCTTCGTTGCTCTGGCAGAAAATGGCGCAAAAACTTGCAACAGGGAGAACGGCTTTGGAAGTGGTGCAGGGAGAAGGCAACGAGGTTTTTCCCTCCGGGGCACAACACCGACTCTGCTATGTTCCAAACCCGATTTGCCAAAACGCTCCTTCAGCTTCTGCTCCGAAGGCTCCCAGTGGAATCCTCAGCGATCCTTCAGCTGTGCTCAATCAAGTATTATATTTGGACTCTTTTAAATCAAAACTTGGCTATTTTTCATTAGATAGATTGAATTTCTTTACAGACAAAAATTAGAAAACTGACTTTGTTAGTGCATACCCCACATGCCTGCTTGTTTGTGTGTAATATTTCTTCAGTTTGTGTATGCTTTTATATGCTGACATAAGCCAAGATTAAATGTATTTGTGTACACGAAACAGTTGTGCATCCTTCTGGCCCAATTAACTATACAAAATCTATAAAAAAGTGTGACAATATCTACATGAACAAATCAAAGCAACCTCTTGTATTTGCAAACCACACATAGAGAATCCAGGAAAGAAAAAGAAAAAAACACCAGCTCATACCTTGACATGTGGGGAAGATATCAAAATAGAGAGCTCCTTAGCCTCTGGCTCCACATTTTTTTGGAGGGCATGTAACACCTGCGAAATATGATGTCAAGCATAATACAGATGGTGACAGAAATATTTAATGATTAAGAAAGAACATTATAAAACAGCTACTAGTACCTTTTCGGCAGTGAGTGAGGCATCACAGCTAGAAGGAGCAATTCCTTTGTTACTAAAGCTGACAATCTTTGTATGTATCTGTCATGATAAAAAATATTGAATAGACATTAATAGACAACAATTGTAGGTAATAAATTAATACACAAGAACGTAGACACAAAAGACTAAAAATTATAGACCTTACAATACTTTCAGTACAGGGTTTCAAATAGGGTGACAGGAGCAAGACTTTAAGCAACCCAGATATGAAGCTGGCTTCAGGAAGAGGTACTCTATAACTCAGTAATGCAGGGGTGGGCAACCTGCGGCCCACACGACAGTATTATGCAGCCCCTGGTATGGCGTCAGAATTTCCCCTTTCCTAGTCACTTTCTCTTTGGGGGCCGTCATGGCATTTTGACTTCAAATGGGGTTGCTTAAATAAGAACAAATAAAGATCACTTTCCACTTGGCATTGCCCCGATTTTCACACTAGCCAGATAATGATTAGCATTTTTTTTTTTTTGCACGTAGGTCCAGAAAGGAGCAGAAGATTCTTTCTGGAAATAATAGGTCAGGATAGGACCTTCATATAAAGAAAAAAGAAACTCGTGTCTGGCATCCTTGTAGACATTACCACTTTTATTACCATGCCTATAACCATGCTACGAATCTATTATGCTATTACCATGCTATGAATCATCGGTGTTGGCATGTTGAATTTGTTCCTCATGCACCTAGTACTTCCAAGTAGTTAGGTAGTTCAGCCACTGAAACATTAGAATCGCTTTTAATTTGCCTGTTTTGGCAATGTTGTTCGGGAACATAGTAATTTTTTAGATCTTTGCACCCTAATAATAATCATTATAATATCTTACGTGTAACATCCCAAAACCATGATACAATAATGAGAGACGCCGTGGTGCAGGGCTCCAGAAATTTCGACCATCTGGTGTTCTTCAATGTGCAATGACATTGCACCAGTACACAGGCCTCTACCATTTCCCCTCCACCGAAATGCGACCACTGCAGCAGAGATCAAAGCCAGAGCAGAGCCCTCTTACCGCTACACCCCCATGGCGGACAATCTTTGAGCAAACTAATGTGCATGTGTTGTTGGGAAAATGAGCTTGGCTCACGAACTTGAGAGAAATACGTGCTGTCCGTGGTTGTGCTATAGTAATATCAAAGTCATTCAATCAAGAGAACCTTTGCAAGTCCAGCATCAGATTATGGTGTCAGCTTCGCAATCTGAAAGTGTTGAGCGATAATTGCCCGAAATTTATGCCAGCTATTCACTGGAGAGCAGTTTGAAGGTGGGGAAGATTTAGTCTACAAAAGAATTATTTCTGAAGGTCCATCGCATGTAGAATGTACGAAGGTGGCCTTTTCAGCCAGTTTTAGGCAGCTTCAGTTTTGCTTTCATTGTTATACAGTCGAACCTCGATATATCGAATGGCGCGGCAATCGCGAAATAGTTCGATATATCCAGAATTTGATATAAGAAAATCACGAAAAAAATGCGTCAACAGCTTGCTGAAAACGACCAACAAACCGTTCAAGCGTGGTGCAGTAAATACTCAATTGAAGTTTCAAACATAGTATTTATTGTGTTGGTTTAAAATATTGAAAAAGAGTAGCCTGCTTTTTGTTGACCATGGCGTGTTTGACGACTGCATCCTCAATATAGTCCAGGCGATTCATAAGTGATAGGCCGGTGCCTTGAATCGCGCCGCAGTGGCGGCGCACAAGGGCCAAGGCAGCTATGACCTAAGCTGATGTCGGGAGCGGGGCACCATCAGCGCTTGCGGGATTCACCTCGGCAGAGTTGGGCCTGTCGGCACAGCGCCCGACAGGCCCAACTCCGAACAGTGCGCGACAGGCCTAACTCCGAACGCACGAAGACTGCGAGCACAACGACCGATGCCTGCCGATGCTACGGGGGAGGAGCTTGCAACAAGTGCGCAGTGTGCCGTTGACACCATAGAGACTGCAACGACTGCAAGCTGCAAGGCTGCGGCATGAGTCCGGGTGTAAAGCGCGCACATGACGAGCCCACAGAACTGGCACGCCCATGCCGACTCGCCTGGCTGCTTTCCCTTTCCCGGCGGCAGCGCAGGCCGCGTCCGAGACGGTCGTCTGCGTCCTTTCCCTCTAATGCTTTCCTCCTCAATCTTTACCTCCCACTCCCCCGTCCCCCGCGCGAAGCCGTGTCGGTGCCTCCGCGCTTTTCTCTTAACTTTCCTCATTCAAGAACCTCTACCGCAAGGCTGCGGCGCGCGTACGCCGCTACGTTAAAGTGGCGCTCTCGCCGCCATCGATGTGTGCAGCATTCGTAAACGCCCGCCGCTCTACCGCTACTTTCGAGAGTTGTGGGAAAGCTCGCTACCTGTCAATGGAGCGCAGGCGGTTTGGGGTGGCTGAGTTCGATATATCCATTACATGTCAAACTTTGTTCGAAATAAAAAATTAATAATGCATGCGATTTCCCACGTGATATAGGAACCGTTCGATATAAGCAATAATTCGATATATCCGTGTTCGATATATTGAGGTTTGACTGTACAAGACACAGGGCCAAATCCAGTTTTGCGAGTCGCTCTTATGGTGGTGGCATCATGCATGTGGGTGCCCACGTGGGTCGCAAACAAATGTGTGCTGCTCAAAACTATCATGCAATCACGCTTGAAATAAGTGATGACGAGCTTTGAGTACGAAAGTGACAGCCCCTCAACTTCAAGTTCTTATGCCGACTATGTTTTGTGTCAGCCTGGGACATTCACAACCGCTCAGAGGTTGGTTTCATTTACAGCCTCACATGGTCTTTTCGTTGCACGCGCAAAGCTGTTGACCTCTGTGCACGATGTAGAGCTACTCTGGTTACGTGCGAGGTCCAAACATTGTTGGGGGCGCAATGTGCTCGTGCCAGCTGCAGAGCTTCTCCTCATGACAAGGCCACCACAGCACATCTCGGCCCTACACCATGGGTCAATGTGAGATGTTTTAGGATTGCAATCGATTTTGTTGATATTTTTTCAATACTACTTGCAAAAACACAAATATGCTTGGATACATATTTTAGAATGCCAAACTATACGGAGAAAAGTGGCTGTTAACACACTTTTGGACATGCGATTTGAGTAAAAGGTTGAAATTTGGAAGACTCAATATCCAAAACATCAGATGTCGTACATTGGTTCTATAAGGCTTGTGGCAGTCCCGTAAAAAAGTCCGTTTTCAAAAATGTCCAAAAAATCGACAGCCTTGTTATCCGTATCAGTGATGTCTGTTGGCATATCACATCAGATATTGTAGTTTCCTCACAACAGCCTGACGTCCTATCTTGCCTCTTGGTGCAACTTATTTATAGCAATCGGTTTTGAGAACTAAATTTTTGTGCAGGCACTTGAGTATTGTTATAAGTGGGTTCGACTACAGTAGTGGAGCTGGAGGTGGTGTCTAGTCGCAAACAGGCAAACTGAAAGAATGCGGGAGAAGAAAGGCACACAGGTGCAAAGATTAATGATAAGACGAGGCTTGAAGGACGAATGGTAAACATGAGAAGGCAGCCATCATTGAACACCAATACGAGTACCTGGCTTTGTTCGTGGTGTGGTTTGAAGTTCTGCACAAGTTATACAAAGAAGAACATGTCCATTCACGACAACACATTGCTTTTAACACGGGGAGTTTGCCATATGAGCCTTCATCTGCCATTGAAAACAAGTTATGTAGTCAATATTAGACTGCATTTGTCAATAAATTCAAGGGTTCTCAATAAAAAAATTATTCCAGAACTTTCAAGGGCCTTAGAAATGTACTGTTCATTTCAAGGACTTTCAAGGAGCTGTTTACACCCTACGATTAGAGAATCAATGGAGTGGTGCATTTACTATTATGTGCTTATTGCTATTATGAAAAAAATGAACCTGGGCATAATTAGTAAGAGCAACGAAACGGAATACCAAGAAATGGAAAATGCAGCCGAGGGCAGCAGAGAGTAGGGTGGCGCGATGGAATTAAGAAATCAGTAGACGTAAAATAGAATAGACTTGTGTAAGACAGCGTGAAGTGGAAACAACAATAAATCTGGCTTGCTTCCATTTCCTTCCTGGAAAGTTCAGCACTGGCCCCTTTCCTATCAAGAATGATAAGTCATGCTGATACCTGAAAGTTCTGGGAGCATGGTGATAAAGCAAGGAAAAGAATACAAGATAATTGATTATTGTTGTGGGACAAGTTGCCCTTTTTACTCTACCTTTTCTGTGAGTGCGTAAGGACAATACAGTCTATTATCATTATACTAATGTTGCATCTGACACAAAAGAGATTCATAATAATATGCACTCATAATAATACTAATAGCAAGAGTTTTCATTTCCCTCATTATAATCAGTAGTAAGGTATGTCTGTGTTTACTATATTGAGATGTTGCTGTATTTTCAATAAGCTTAAAACTGGCTAATGCACCCATTAACCAGTACTTTGCATACAGAGCAAACACAGTGACTACGAAAGCTTACAAGCGATTTGACACCAAGTGCTCCCAAACAATAAAACCATGCAGTAATGTAAACAAAAACTAACATGAACCAGGGCTTGGAGGGCTTTGTTTTGGAGCAGAGCAGCAAGGAAGGCACGGTCCTCATCAGCACTGTGAGCTTTATGGCACACCTGCTCCAGAGAAGCCAGAAGTCTTTGCAGCGCTGAAAGGGAAGCCAACAAACAACCTGGAAATCTGCCTTCAATGCTCCTTAGGGCTAGTCATTGTCGCAAGTTTATTAAAGACAATGCTTAGTCTTTCAGAAATAACTTTCACGGGTTCAATGTTTGCCGCGCTAGTAACACTAGCGATTTTTTAACTATTACTGGATTTAATTTCACATGCTGGCTGCTTTTGGAAAGCTTTTTTTATGTAAATATAATGACATTCCTTGCTTTAACAAAATAAATGTCCATTTTGCAGCAGTGGCTGTAGTTCTTCACTCATTCTTTTTTACAGCCCCACATGCTATCTGCCACCACCACCCTTCTCTGCTTCTTCCACTCTCTTGGCTGTGTGGCACATTCTAAGGTCTCTAAATAAAACAAGTTTCCAAGGTAGCGACACCCTCCCTTTCTTCCTCGCTCATATTCCTGGAGCACCCCCTAGAATGTTCAAAACTTTCATAAAAAAGCTAATGTTTTGGTTCAGTTGCTAAAGTGAATAGATGTAAATGAAATTAAATGGAAGGAAATGAGTCGTAGAATAAACGGTTACCTATATGAATATAAACGAAACAACACAAGAGCAAGCGGGATGTGTGTTACTCAACTTACATCGTTGTGCAGTTACATATTTTATACCACTAGCCATGGCATTTCGCATCGTACATCATAGTTCATCCAGTTCTCCAAATGTGTTTTGTTCGTGCTGTGACAAATTGAACACACTTCTTGCTGGATCCTGTCAGTGACCACAGGACGTGATGATTGTGACGAGTGATTAGAGCCGGCTTGTGCACATGCAAGAAAAAACCACAGCCAGGCTGGTACAAACACGTGACTATACTCGGCGACAACTTTTCTTGGCATTGGAGTAAAGGCTACAGAGCCAAATCGCCTGCATCCTACCGCCAGTGACCCAGCACCTCCACCACTTATGAGGAAGAGCTTTATTCGAGACGAGCTCGTGCTGGCACATATTGATGATGATATCTACAGATGATGACATTATACAAATGATGATGACACGTCCAATTGATAAAGAAGAGTCGGTGACTGCGCTCACAGTATTTCCAGAATATCACCCGTATTTTCAAAGTGAAATATAAAAATTCCTCCTTTATTTTATTCGGGGATCTATTTGAGACAAGACGCAGCTTGCACCAGTAAGATATTCATATTTCTTTCAATTTACTCATTGTGACTTCACTTTTCAGAGCGCGCGAGAAAGTCCCACATTTTTACGTGTACCTCAAATGGTAATCGGCGTGTGCAGCTACATAAAACCCTGTTAGTGCTCCCCGTCACTTACCATAGCATTTTGAGACGCACGCCACAACAGACTGGTTCGCGTAGTGCTACATGTGCAGAAGCTCCGCCCTCGTTGCTTTCCCTTCAGTGCCAAAAAAAGTTGCCGAGTATAGCAGCACTGCGATGACAGCTTTTTTTTTTTTATGCGCCCATTTCGACCATCGTGATGCCAGGTAATTCTGGTGCAGTGTGCGGAACCTCCCAAAAAAAAAGAGTTCTACTGGTGAGATGTCTCCAAGCGGCATGTTACGACTTTTATGCCACATTCTAGGGAAAGTGGCTCGAACTGGTCAAGCATGAAATGTTCCTCAAGGTGCATTCATTAAACCCTCCAGCTGTTCTGTAATGTGCATATGCACAAGTACTTGTAACAACTGGCATGCACTAGACGTGCATTAGACGTGCTCCTGGCTTTTCAACAAAAACCGACAAATCAACTCGTTTCGCAGATCCGCGTCGACATCCATCGACCGCGTTGCACGAAAGCGTTAGCGTGAAAAGTTTCATAGCTACACTTCATGGTGTGCATAATTTTGGATAGCACGAGGTACGTCGAAGAGAGGAAAACAGTTTTCTGTTATTTTACTGCAACTCCGCATTGTTGAAAAACTCGGATGTTGCATTGAACATGCACCGTGAAACAATCTTGGCCGACTTTGCACCAACTGGAACACCCCTCCTCTGCAGTTTGTGTCCTGGCTACGATTTCGTCTTCCGTCCCGAGGCAAAGAATCCGGCTGCAGTCATACACATGCGCGTGTGTACTCTTTTTGATTTTTTTGCATAACAATAAACAATACCACCAGTCATTCATAAGATCCCATGCAAGGAATGCACCAATTACAGATGCAGATGGCACCGAGAACAATGAGTGATGCTACCTTGGAAACTTGTTTTATCTAGGGACCTTAGCACACTCAAACTACCAGCGCAACAGTGCCTAGTAGTCTTCATTAGTGTAGCACAGAAAGATCACCCTAGCGAGACCTTGGAATAGGGGGGGGGGGGGGGTGCGTTCTTGGCAGCTGCTCGAGTATGCAAGTGCTTTCTTTTCTTATCTTGACTTATTAAAGCAGTTACACTTAATGCTGGTAAGTGCCAGGACCTTGCCATGAATAAAGAAAATACTGCACTAATAAATAAGTCGAATGATAATAGTATTCACAGACTAGTCGTACTACGAATTGAAAGAATGTGTTAAGACACAAGCAGTTTACATGGAGTGGTCTCAATTTGTTAAAGGGCCAGTAAACAAGCCTGAAGTCCAAAAATTGTTATGAAGAGAAATATACCACTTTTGCTATGTGAACACGCTGCCGCAAGAGTTTTGCAAATAAGGAAGTTTCAGCTGTTTTCAAACTTTCGCGCGCCCTCACCACCCTTCACCATAAAAAGGTGTAAGGCACACCCCGTGGTCATGACTCCGCCCATTTCAGCAATGTGACACGACGTCGGCGATACGTCATCGGCGCGCAGCCGACGATCGAGCAAGACCTCCCCCACATGAGCACATGTCATAGAGACATGGGGAGGAGACGCGGTTCGAGCAGCACCCTTCCCTTAGTGGTAAAGTAGCGAGACACCTCTTTATCTCAGAGGCTTTCGTTCTGGCAATACAGTTTCCTTCAGTAGCCTCGGGATCAACAAGACGGCAGCGCGCAGCACAGGAAAATTAAAATGCAGACTGCGCGGCCGAAACTGCTTCACTGCAGGGTTAAGAGACTGTTTCGCAAGGCAAAAGACCAATCACCAAGCTCAGTGGTACATAAAGCTGCCCATGGTCAAGCTTGCGTCACTGTACACACAAGGGGGATTGTTCAGACGGAAAAAGGTGCGAGAATTGTTTTTCGAGATGGAGGGTCTGCACTGCGCTACAGTATTCAGAAAATGTGATCGCTGGGGTTTACTGTATGAATTAGCCAGCTTGTTAGGGCATAAAAAAAACGTCGGAGCCAGTTTACTAGCCCTATAAAAGCGATGCTCTGCACCCCTTGCAGCATAACACCTGAATTTACTAGTTCACAGACATAGCCCTTACGAGAGGATGCCGTCCTGCTTTTCAGTAAAAGTGCTGTTCAGCAGAGAAAAATTCTCTGAGCAGGTTCCAAAATTATTAGGGGCCAAATAATAACTACCATGCCAACTTTTTGTCATGGTATTTGAAATACATGCCATTTGACTGAGTATATGCATTGTTCTTGCTGTGCCCAAACCATCTAGCATGTCCAATGGATCCTCATGCGTTTTACAAGTTCTAAAGAAAGTTTATCACAGAGGCAAACTTCTTTTTAGCACAAATGCACTAGCAACTTGAGTCAAGTGCTTTAGTGTCAGATGTTCAGCAGTGAACGGACTGTGAGGCCAGGGATGCAAATAATGTTTACAAACTGTAACAGGCCCCAGCTATGACTTCAAATTGTGAGTCAGACCTGATTGGCGATTCTCAAGACAGTGATTCGGACAAGAATACTCCCATTTTTCCCAGCCCATCTCTAGAAAAATGGACACTGGGACTGACCACTTCACCTAGTGTGACACCACACTCTAGGCGGCCCTCAATCAGTCAGTTGCTATCTAGCAATCATACCCTGACTTTGTACACACAGTTTATTAAGGATGATACCCTGCAAATGATGGTCAATGAATCGAACATGTTTGCACAACAAGTTCTGGGGTCCCTACTCTCAATGCAAAATCGCAGTTTAAGAACTAAACAGAAACCAATGTTCCTGAAATGAAAGTACATGAAAGTACTAGTTGAAATACTGGTTTGTATTGGTTCTGTCCATCTTCCTACTAAGAGTCACGACAAAATTGAAAATTACCTCTACCGCATTGAAATCATTGGTCGAAATTTGAGCTGAGGCCACTTTTACCTGCTTTTGAGAAACTGGCATTTAGCAAACAATGAAGTGCTTACAGTCTCGCAGGACTGTGTATTTAAGATACAGCCTCTGGTAGAGAAATCCAATCGAAATTTTATCACTGTGCTTGTGCCAGGAAGCCGCCAAAAAAAGTATTGGAAACACTTTTTTCCTGACCCGACTGTACATTGCAGTGTGCTTGCAACATTCGTGCACTATGGTGGGAGATGCTACATTCAAGACGTGCAAAGTGCCAGTCACCTGCGAGCATTCATTCAGGCTAGATTGTGTTTTTAATGAACCCCAGTCAAGAAATTTGTGCAAGTGCACAATTCAATGAACGATTGAACAGAGGTATGACCGAGCATCAACTTTTGTGTTGGCCTGACAATACCAGACTACCCGATGATAACAACACAGCAAAAATTCCCCAACCCCTCTGCAGCCTCGTCTTGGCACCAGCTATTTCCTAGTTTCAAAAGTGAAATCTGCCCTTAGCGAACGCTACCATGAGACCCAAAGTGCCATCAAAGAAGCTTGTACGTTTGCCCCAAAAGACCTTCCAACATCTGCCTATGAGAACGCCTTCGGGACATGGAAAACCCGCTGGTAAATGCATGTTGATGCTCAAAGAAGGTACTTTGAAGACTCTCTCGAGTCCTTATAGCAATAACTATGCGAAATCTACTTTGTCGTAACTTTCACCAATACTTTTTCAGAAACACAGAAGATGAAACAATGATGCCATGGCACCGCCTACTGCCATACAGACAGTACATATGAGGAAAAGTACAAATATGGAGTCAAGCTCTTCCAAGGCATGAGCAAAAGACACTCGCGGGATCAAATCCCGGAGTTGGGATTTGATCCCGCTGCATTTTCAATGACTGTGCAAATGCTCGAGATACGTGTGACTTAGGTGCAGGTTAAAAACTCAGGTGGTTTAAATTTCCGGAGCCGTCCACTACAGCATTCCTCGTGATAAACAATAGGCTTATATGCACAGGAATACAGGTGTGAATGTTCCTTCTTTCCTGCTCCAGTATAACAATAGTCGTTTATAAATGACTTTGCCTACTTTGTCAATATTATAAGTGGACTACACTGTATTAGTTGTGGCCAATAGCAGTGATATCATGGCATGTCCTAAAACCGCAAAACAAATATGAGAGACACAGTTGTAAAGGGCTCCAGAACATTCAACCATCTAGTGCTATTTAGTGTGCACTGTTATCTCACAGTAGAATTGCTCCTGATATTTACCCTTTTCTATCACCAGACTACTTTTGTCGACATTAGCTTCCCTGCTTCAAGATTATGTAACATTCAATTTCTATTTCTACCATCTCATTTATACTGTCATACGTATCATGAGGTCTGGATACAATTGATGACAAGAGTTACTGTATATTGTGGACAGTAATGTTATCATTCTGGATTGATAAAATAATTATGCTGATTAAACTATACATACGACAAGGTTTTGGACTGTGAAGCAGTATCAGCAAAAAAAAAAAAGCACGGTGAGAGAATAGCTATCTAAAGCTCAATTTCACTGATAAGTTTAGCATATGTAAACATACCTTGGTCGCTATGTGTTCCATTGTATTTGCCTCCTACAGCCATTCCCTTTGGTGGCAGCAAGACATCATTACTGAAAGACAAAAACAAAGACGTAGAAACACAGCACTTTCCTACAACAACATATGACTACGAATAAGCCAGTGGTAACCAGCTACAATCGGGACTTGTCTTTTTTTTCTCTTCGTTATTTTTACTCTATGATGGCAAAAAAAAAAACAATGGAACAAAGACTTTCCACAGAGTTTTCAATGAACATTGTACCTGGAAGGAACCCAACAGCTGAAGCAAAGGGGGCACAACGGCATCTTGCGAGAATTCACCCGAACAGTAATACAGCCGACATAGGCACACTCTGCTGTGGCCCACAAAATAACTATAAATGAGGCAAACCAAGAGCCACCAGCTGCATTTAGAGGATGCACACCCCACTGGCAGTTTTCCAAAGCTAATTCCGTCTTATCTCAAGGTTATAACAGTGCCAAATAAATCACACCAGGACCATTCTGATTCTGTGGCTCTGTTCAAATGGTGAGAAGCCGGTGGTGACACACAGAAACAGGGATAAGCAGGCAGTTTACTCCAACAGCTCCTACACTTCACATACTGCTCGCTAATTAACAGTTGCAGTATGTAAAAGATGAGGTCAGCACAATGGTATACAAGTAGCAAGCACGTAGCATGTCGAAGTTCCCGATCCTTAACAGCCAAAAGGCAGCAAAGCGCACCGTACCCGTTTACTGCGTCAAATTAGACTTGCACTTTTGGGGGAACAGCGCAAATGCTGCACTACGAACGTTTGGAGTGGTAAATAAGCAAGCAATTTTTACTGGGCGCTTCAAGGCACAAAACCAGATGGAATGCTGCCCGGATAACGCAAGAGTCAATGAAATAATCAGCGTTTCGCCTGGAACATCTCACCTTAGGAGAACGTTTCTCGCCAGCGCAACTAGCTGCAAGTGGGCGTCATCGCGTCACGTCACTGCAAAGAAATCAAAACGAAATGCTGCGCAGTCAAGCGAGGTTGGTGCGATGTAACAAGCCCGTCCGTTCTCTGCGCTGCATGTGAAAAGTTGTCAGCGTGCACAGCTCGTATGTTTGAGCGATGATTGCTCTGCATATGCTCCTTTCAACACTACTACAAAGCTTAACGGACTATTCTCTGAGCTTTTTCTTTTAGTTCCTCACTTACATCGCGGTTCTAGATATTGCATATTAAATCCTGCGTAAAATTTTATGCTATCTCCGATTGCCGTGAATAGCTGAAAACAAAATAGCTTCGTCGGCTGCGTAACCAAATTAGTGGTACCCACTTTTAAATGCGCGAGCTGCTGATTTAGAATAAGGATGAGTGGAAGAACCCCTATGCTTGCAATGTCAAAACAAAGCGTACTAGCGCATCCTACAGAACTTTAAATGGGCGGATAAGGAGCCCCAACGTGATTAAACTTCTGAAACTTCCATTTAAGCTCGGAGAAGCCAGCAGCAACTGACCCACCTGTAGTTCCTCCTGACAAAACCATCACGCGTTAAGGGAAACAGCACCCGTCAACGACGCTCAGGAGTAGGGAGTGGGAACAGTTGTCAACACACCTAAGCGCACAGCTTCAAAACAAAACTGAAACGGGCGGACTGGCAGGGCGCCAAGGCTCTAGAATGTGCACTAAGCCACAGAACAACCAAGCGCCAAGCATAGAGTGGCGCCAGTGGCACCAAGTGCCAAGCATGCGAAGCATGGTTGAGCGAGTGGCACTAGTTACAAATCTCAACGCTGAGTGGTACAGCGGTCGTAAAAACCACCGAAGAGCGCAAGTTTCAAATTGGAACACAATTAAGCGCTCGATTCCGGCTAACAGTCTGCCGTGGGGCGAGTGCGGTCCCTCTATTTTATAAGCAGGGGCTCGGCACCCGCTAAGCTGGGTCAATTGCAGCATTCACTCGACAAGCTAGCTGCGAAGTTGGTTTCTTTTTCTCTTTTTAGGGACGAAGCTCCTTACGGCGTGGCTTGTGCGTCTCGTTGTCTCGTATGTAACCACCGTTGGCACATACCCGAGAGAGCGGTCCTTAGAATGTCCGCTGGATGGCGGTACTGGTATATGATGAATACATGATGAAAAGATGTGAGATAGCGGTACTTGGAGTGTTCACTAGATAAACGGACGGACGGATGGACAGACAGGCAGAGGTGCGGGCGGACGGACGAATGGGTGGACAGGCAGATGAACGACCACATGAACAGACAGACAAACAAACGGACGGAAGCACGGGCGGACTGACGAACGCTAGCGATCGCCCCACCAATCATATTCACATCCGTGAATATGCTGTGATTTTTTTTAGAGTGCCTTGCACGAGAAAATTGTAACTGTCCAATTTTATGAATAATAATTTAATCTCAAATATACAGTTTATGTGGCATGAGCAAAACAGCCAAACAAGCTTGCACTTCCTCGAAACACCGCGCACAACGAGCAACCACCCTCTCTCACTAGGTATGGCGCAGCGATTGTTTCACAAAGCATCTGACCAACAAACTACATGCTCATATGTATTAAGAAATGTTCACCTTGGTCTCGTTAGGGTACCAGTCAGTTTCCTTTATTTCACTAAATGAGTAAAAAAAAAAACTCGAAGGTGGCTTCACCGCATGGCAATACAATGAAGAACGCCAATAAAAAGAAAACTGAGACACAAATGGCCCAACGTGGTCAAGTCAGCAAATTTAGCATGAAGAAACGCAAGTATGATAAGTATATATTCTTCACTGGTTCCAAGTGGGACCAATTTTCTTTATGACGAGTCAATGCATGGTCGTTTTGTTACAAAAGCTCATGACGACTATATATACTCATCAACAGTAGTGAAAGGGCAAGGCAGCCAACGATCACAGCTCAAAAGAAGTGCCCATAAGATCCCGGAGGGAGCGCTGCATTGCTTCGCAGAAACTACATACTTTAATTGAGCAGCCGGATATGGTAGCATGCTTTTTTTTTTTTTTTTGACAGGAATCAGCAGACGACTAATACTTTTGAACTTGCTCTCACTTCTAAGCTCTGAGTTTGCATTGTAATAAGCATCTTGACTCGGGGCAGATTCATTTTGCATTTAATATCTATGAACACATGTGATGGTTGTATGCTTGTTTCTTTTTTCAGCTATATACTTTCTGGTGTAATAAAATAACACACAGTTGTCTGCTAGCATTTGTATTGTGTGATGATTCTTTCGTTCTTCATGCCGTTTTTGTGCTATTTCCCCCTCACACCAGTTACTTTGTCTAGAAGCTTGGGTGCACATGTGTTGGTAAAACATTGGAAAGAACGCAACGCAACAGTAGACTGAGACAAAGAAGGGCAACACACATATGTGTTTGTGCACATGTGTGAACCTTCTTTGTCTCCATATTCTATAGCACTGTGTTCTTTTGCAACAGTCACTTTTAACAGCAGAGCTTTTTAAGCTTGAAGAGTCCATTAGCTGCTTAAAAAATCTCCATCTCCTGCTTTGCTCCCAGAACATGTGCGCCGATTTCTTTTGTGTAAGATGTAATAACTATGTAACACAAGTCACGGGACATGTTCCCACCAAAAAAATGTAACAGTAGTCACATGACATCTTTCTACCAATATTGCATAAGTTATGTGACATGTTTCTGCCAAACCGATGTCATTTAACCCTTTACTGCTGAGTGTCGCGAATTAACGACATACCGAAAAAACTTTGAGTAAGCAAGTGATGAAATGCATGCCACCTTTATTGCCGGTTGCCAAGTACTTACGGGGAACGTAGCTTTCAGCAAAAAAAATGTAGCATTGTCTCGTCTAAGGTAGTTTATACAAGAAGCAATTGTTTTGTAGCTGATGGTGGAGAGCATGAAGTGCGGGCAACAGCTCTCAGTTTTTCGTTCTTTCTGGCCTGGGCGATGCGAGTTCTATCTTCAATAATTTTGTTTATTTGTTGTGTACACACCCAAGAAGTGACACAGGACATTTTATGCAGTTTTGAAGTAAGTTTTCCGTTGCAAGGTTCTTGTTTCTGTGACATAAGGAGAATTTGCAACACACATAAAAGTATACATTAAAGTTGAATTTTCTATAATTTAACTGCACAATCATTTAAAGTTTGCTATTTTAAGCTGGAAAATGAAAACAATATTTATTTTGTTCAGCTCTTACATAACGCATTAAACGGTTAAGCAGGACTAGGACACGAGCTTTGGAAGGCAGCTTCTTTCTAGGAAGTCTGAACACAAGCTTCGCTGTTGGTTCCAGTCTTACACCACTAATGAAAGCTGCATACAGTTTTTTTTTTGTTATGGACACTCTCGGCTGATTTCTGTCATCACCGTGATGTCCCGAGTATGTAGATGTATGCGTATATCAATATAAAAGGCACCCCAAAAAAATAAGTCACAAAAAAATTTTCATGGCGCCCACTCTTCAGCGCGCTGCATTAACTGACTAGGACATGCCGCTTACACAGTTCGTCTCACTAACAATGAGCTATGTATATACACCATTTACCACTGGCTTACTGTCAATGGACTTGGAAGAAACATTCTTAACAAAGCAAGTACTTTTTTTGGACAAGCCATACATGCTTTTCCTAAACATGCACATGTCCGATGGCTTAATCTATGAAGGAGTCGGTTCACTGAAGCACATCCAGTTTGATGAAAGGGGCATTCCAAAATGTCTCTGGCTTCACTCTAACTCTGAAGCAACAAAAAAAATTGCTCGCATCAAGTCCAGAATTATTGGGGAAGTTGCTGTGAATTCAGATCCCATCGAAATGCGCACCCCCACTCTCCCTTAGACGGACACACTCAACTTGCTGCCCCAGGTGAGTTGTGGTTACACTTGCGCTGTTTAAACATCTCCTTACTTCGAGTATATCTCGCCAGGAACCTTGCGGTCTGACGTCATGAACTTCTTGCTACAAAAATTCTATGAGGTGTGCCTACAGAATGTACCGGTGATAGTCACTGGATACTTCAACGTGAAAACCAGTAGCTTGTCCCGTTTCTCGATGCTGAACTTGAACTTTGCCTCCTGTCAGATGTCACACAATCAACTATTCACCACACCATCTGTTTAGATATTGTGGTTACTGCATTACTGTCCATTCAGGCACAATTATTCGACCCTGTTCTCTATATTTCGTATGGTACCTAAATCTCCTAGCCTTACTTCATATAACAGCCCGATGTGTTGCTATAGCAGTTATTGCTTCAGCCTTGTGCTGAAACTGCGACTTTTTTTTCCAAGTTATTTTGTCGATGCAGTCTTTCTGTCCTCATTATTTTCTGTGTGTGATAGCTGAATCATAGGAGTGAATCATAAACATAAAATGTATGATTAACAAGTGTTAATGATATGTATTTCATCACAAGTTGAAACAGCCACCTACAAAATATTCATCTTGAAGCTGGCCCATTATGCAAATATCTCAGTTATCAAATGAGTTCTTATCTTCATTGGAAACTACACATGCATTGAAACTAACAATACTAACCTCATCGTAGCCTACATGCATCCAAATTTTTACCTCTTCTCTAGCTTAGAAATATTTTTATATAGCTTTAGGCTTTAGTCCATTTTAAATTAGAATATGCGGCTCTACCCGGGACTGTGTCATTGATTCACTTGCATCTGAACTTGAATCTGTTTAAAACTGCGCATTGACTTTCAAACTTTGTTACTGTGCTACTGCCAGGGCTACCATCATAAAGGGCACCTAATCATTACCCCCCTGTAAAGCCTGTTTGTGATCCTTCTTTCTTATCCCCAGAGTTTCCTGCATGAAGTTTTTCTTTCGTAGCAGTTTCTAGCTACCCCTGTGTACTGTTCAACTCATACTTATCCTCCCAACGTAGGCATTTTCATACACACATTTTGTTTTAATTCATTTGTTTCCATGACCTCTTGAAATTGCAACCACCAGAACTAGGATATAGGCAGTTGATGCTAAAGACTTTTAAATGCCTCACCACTCATGCACCTTTGCTGCACTTATTACTTTTCTATTTGTTTTTTTTTTCAACGTAAACCTGCTAATATTTGTTTCGTTATTTCTCTATGTATAATGTATTCCGACTAGCCCCTGCAAAGCCATTGAGCTTTCAGGATAAATAAATAAATAAAACAATAAATAAATAAAGTTACAGTGAACAATCTCAGACATTCTGAAAGGCAGAGACCCTGTTTTGTATAAATAACTACCTTTCTATAAATGACTTAACAACACTAAAGGTACTTCGCATGCAGTGACAGTCCAAATAGCATGATGAATAATGGGAATTTTAGACCAATATACAGATGCAACATTGCTGGCAAAAGAAATGAGAAATTTTATTTCTGTCATTGAATCACAGAAATTAAAGAGTAATAACATGACCACTTTCAGAACAGGGAGAGCACACAAAAGAAAATTATTCAGTTTATGATGAGCATTTAAAAAAATTGTCAGAAAACTAAACTGTAAACAACTCTGTTCACAATAAATTAGAAAAAGCCAGCACACTTGGCACTGGCTGAATCAGCACATGAAAACAAACACAACACGAAATTGCACCAATTAAAGAGTAATACCATGACAACATTCAGAACAGGGAGAGCACACAAAAGAAACTTATGGAGTTAATGATATGCAAAAAAAATTTGTCAGAAAAGTGTAAAGAACTCTGTTCACAATAAATTAGAAAGTGCCAACACACTTGGTACCGGCTAAGTCAGAACATGAAAATAAACATACAATAAACATACAATAACATAGTCACTTACAATACAAACAAGAGCTGGAAAAGTCCCCAAGTGTGTAACCGTTTTGACATTATGAGTCACTAAATTTCACAAATGAGAAATGGAACAAAAGTCAGTCCGAAGGCCACTGCTTTGTGCTGAATTTTCTAACACTTACTTTGCAGTCTTCTCTTTCATAACACTGTTTCAAAAACAAGCAGTACACAGACGATTTGTGCACAAACTGGTAACTGCTGGTGCGGTAAAATGGAATGAGCATATGCAGTTATTTTTGGCATAACAATGTGAAATATGAAAACATGTGCACATTGGCAAAGCACTTACTTTGCATCAGGTGACAAAAAAAAAAAGAGTGACTTACAAAGATGGTTTAAAGCACTGATAACCCAAGTAAAAAAAAAAACATACTTAGAAATAAAAAGCAATAAAAGATCACCTAACCTTTTTTCTAAAAATCTTCAACAGACTTTAAATATTATCTGATAACATAGACTAAATATCTCTGAGCAAGCAATTTTGATCAACATAGGTAGTGAATGGAGAAATAGCGTATGTACATATCACAGCTAAGTATTGTTCGGTAACAAGAAATTATTTTCTGCAAATAGGACAGCATACTAGACTGAAATTCCTTCAAACTAATGCTTCGAGATCTGTTCATTTTAATGTTTTTCTACCGCATGATAGTCTATTCCAGTGAGTAGAAATCAAATCAAGACTTTACCATACACATAGACATTGCACAGCTTGTCCAAAAGATTGGGGCCTTCAATTTGCATGCAAGTTCCATCCCATTGGTCCACTCATGACTGTAGACGATCCCTCAGTGCTTCGGCAGCAGCATTCCAATCTTCTATGCACTGTTGCATCACCACCTCATTGATTCGTGGACTGGGGAGTCCAGTGGCTAAAGCTATACCTGGAACCTCGAGGGTGCCCTTTGACAGCTGCAGGAGTAATGTGAAATTATATTTTAAGAGTTGTGGGAGCGATAATAACTAAACAGGAATTTAATAAGTGCTCACTGGAACAGATATTCATCAATGCATCCTCTTTCGTTTTTCTTTTGAAGTTCGTTTGGCTGTCAAATATTACCTTTGCTGCATCGTATTTCATATGCGTAATCTACCACTATTATGCTCATCCTGGAGTGTAGTAAACACTCAAGAAATGTCAGCAAACAAGTTTTGTTCACAAAAAAAGCAGCAATTTTAAGTGAAATGTTTCAAGAGCACCTGATATGTTCTTTTTTTTTTTTATTGGAAGAGAAGCAGTGCACATTTAACCCCCGCCTGCTATTTGTTGCCTTTAAAATGACAGCTTCAAGTACCTCATCAGACACTGGAAAAACTTGGCATGTGGTAAAAAAATTCATGTGACCTCATGCACTATAACAACGTAGTATAAGAAATAAAAAACAGGGTACGAGACAGAATCCAGGCACTCAGAGTCGCAGTCAAGCAGTTTAGCACAAAGCCATGCCAGCACTTGGAAGTTCTTCAGAAAAATACCCTATACAGGTGTTGGAAAGAAACAGCACAAAAAAGGAGAAATCAGACAAAGAAGGACACATACAGACCATTTACTTACAACAAAAGTTTATTCTTCAAACCGCGCATGTATGCCTATGCAGTAGAACGAAAAAAAAAGTGATCGTCAAAGATAAATTAAATATCAACATCATAAAAAATAACCTGATAAAAACGCAATCTTATTTTCTGAGAGTGTAACTGATTGTCTGGTTTTTCGTGCTGTTTCCTTACAACTTGTATGTCATACCAACACGCCCAAGCAACCACTTACCTGAGTTATGTTACCTGTAGTAACATGACTCAGTTGAGGAGTCATGTTAACAGATGTAGGTACAACGGCAGAAATACATGGCAGAGGTGCAAAACTGCACCAGATATAACAAGTAAGTCTTAAATCTGTCCACTGATTAAAATGGCTTTAGCCATGGTTTATTATTATCAGCAGCATTAGCTCCAACATCAATATGCACACGATTGCCTTACATATATGTACAGGGTACTTCACTACATCCCAAAATGATGAATTGTGGCAGAGTGAATACTTTGAGTGAAATTGCATTATTGTGAACATATAGTATAATGATATTAAAAGTTAATTCAGCTAATAGTGAGTCAAGTAGTAAAAGTTACTTACTTAAGGTTACATTAATGAGCATTGGTGTCAATATAAAGTGCACCGTAATATAGCCATTGTGGATAGGTTTCCCCTTCAAGTCGTTGTAGAATCATGTACAAGGGACACTTTGCTCTGAAAATCATGAGCTGCCCAGGTGGATTCTAATCAACTGGGTCCCATGACATTGACATGATAAATGTGCATTTTACAGACTCGACATCAGTAGCATGTAAGTATAGCGCCCATTGTACTGCTCTGAGGCACATGCATGTTGGTACACATGACCTGGTGTTGTACAAATATCAACTATGAATGAAAAAAATCCAAGAATCCTGAAATGAACTCAAAATGCTATTCAGAAAACTTCCAGCCATGTCAAAATCACATGGGTTACTATAGGTGTTGACGAATAACTATCTTAATAAACTACACGCTCCACCTACATAGAAAATATAGCCTCTTGTTAAAAAAAAAAGCTGTCTGCTCATATAAAGCACTGCAAAGCTTTTTACATGCAACACTGAGATATTTGGCATGATAAACAGCTGTTTTAATGGAGTGTTGAGGTGGCTGCTTATGCACACATCAGAGGCAAAAACTCTTGTTGTAAGGACCTTTTCACTGAAAAGGATAAACACCTCCTGTCTGAGCTATGGCACGAGAGTGCAAAGGCTGCGGACACTGCTGCTTTGGCAGTGCATTTTGGGGGAGTGCCTTTTTACCACAGCCCAGAGAGCCCAGATGAGATGGTGGTGGTGCCCAGGGAGCCTTCTCTTCAAAGGTCTATAATAGCTGCAAAGGGATCACTCATAGGAAGCAAACAAACATGAATATATAACTCAAAATTCGTGACTACGAGTCCAGGACATGCACATTCGCAAATTTTTTTTTTCCCCAAAGTGTGATGCAAAATGTAATAAGGTTTCTGAAAAACAAGTTTGTTGTGCAAAGACTTATTTTTACCACTGTTGTAAACTCCCTCTATTATAATGCCCAAGAGCAATGCGGGGTAATTTTTGAATAAAGAAAAAATAACAATTTTAAGATCTACAGCCGAATTCAGTTCATACTTTGTCCAAGCACTGGCCCCAGTTGGTGGCTAGCTAAATGCAGCATCCATCATAACAGTGATGTGTGCAATGTTGATTTGGGTGTTCTGGTGTATGTTCAGTGAAAGCATACTTGATAGAAAAATGGCGAGCAAGGTCTGGAGCCCACACGGCGGCTGTTCGGGAGAGGATAGGGCCAGTTGGGAGAGACGGCTAGGCCTGTTGTGTGATATTGAGGAGGAGAGCGGCAGAGTGGAAAGAGATCGGCGTCGCATGCACCTTGGACTGTTAAGACTATGTTTTCTTGTTTGTGTATATTTCGAACTGAACTGTGCGCACTAAGTGTGCACGCCTACGGTTCTATTCGCCGATAGCAATAGCGAAAAAAAAAAAAAACTGCACTGTACCTCTATTCCTAGCTCCAACAGGCAATAGTGAAACCCCGCATGAAGGTTTCCAGGTGGCACGTTGAGTGCGAGCATCGGTGCTCGATCCACAGAGTCGCTCAGTGCACGCAGCAAGCTGAACATCAGTCGTGGCTCCGTGGTATGCATCATGACAAGTGGAACACCCGGCCACATGGCCACGAACGCCTCGAGGTGTTGTTCTTGCAATTGGTCCGCCAGGTCTCGAGCGAGGAAACAGGCGAATATGGTTCCATCGTTTAAATCATTCTCCATTGTCACTTGAAAGCCTTCACGGCGCATCAGCGTGGCCATGCGTGGCAGCCACTCATCAAAGCGAACAATGACTGACGCTTCACCGAAGCGGACGGCAAACCATGGTTGGACACTTGTGCGCGGTAGCAACCAGCAGTACAGCCAAGCAATACCATGCAAACGTCTTTCGGGGGTCATGACATTTAAAGTGCGGATGATCTCTTTCACGGCGCGCTTACGACCCATTTTCTCCAGATCCCGCCACCCAGCAATGACGAACCTATCCAAGGAGAGTAGTTGAGCCCGAGAAACCAACCTCAGCTTCGACTTCAATAGTGCCAAGTCGTAGTGAGTCATTGCAGTAGAAGCCCTACACAGTGGTTGGTAATATCGAAATGTTTCCTCTTTTGGAACAACTGTCAACCTAATTGTCGGAACTAACTAGCATGAAAACTGGCAAATGGAGGGGCGCCCTCTCGCGTGAGGTTAGAGCTGGGCACGGCGAGCTCTCCACCGCGTTGTAGCAACCGCTCTTCCTGTACGCGGGTCGTCTGCTTCAGGCGGAGACTTCGTCGAACGAACCGTCTCGCAGGCTCAACTATATAATGCCTGCAACGAATATGTTCTAGTGCAGTTATGAACTTGTTTTAGCTGCAGCCTAATCGACAGAACAAAGAAACCTCCCTGGTGGCCAACGCGGTACGCCGATGCCGCCAACTGATGCTGATGCTGATGACCTGAGATGGATGGCGCTCACCCACAGAGGGGGATGGGCCGAGAATCGGGCGGCAGGATGCTTAAATGAAACTAAATTGAAATAAAGCCAATATTAAAATTTAGTTTAGAGATAATAGTGCCAATAAACAAAAATGTTTGCTGAGCAAGCGGTCAAACCATCTCTTGTTTTTGACAGACATCGCTACGAATTGTAAACTATAGATCTGAAAAGGTCAGGGTTCACTAGCACGGTAATCTTTTAGTTGCGTTGATGTAATCAAATCTCTGTGGCAGTAGCCAAATGAAGTGCCGCCAAGTGATAAAAGTACTGGTAGATTTACTTGTATTCCTAGCTTTTGTAATGGGGCTACTAAAAATATTTTTCTCTGATAAGAATACATTGCTGGTAAGAAAGTTAAACTTGTGTGAGTGTTCTCGCTTGTCATATACAGTTCTCACGAGATTATACAAATTAGTTCGAGAGTTCCTTTCGATATTTTAATAAGCGATCCTGTATTTAGCATCTATTCAAGTATGTATATGAAATTGCAAAACGTCGCGGTGTCTCATTGAGGGCGAGGCGGTGTACGATGCAGGCCACGTTGCTGAATGCGCGGAATTAGGGTGGCTAGACTAGCCACCCTAGCGCGGTCGCGGTCAACAACAGAGATCGTATCACTAGGCATCACTCTATAGTGGCTCTGGTCCTGAAAACAGGTGCACTTGTGAGAACCCCCCACACAACGTCTCCATGGCGATTGAGTTCGTGACGAATAATTATCATTCAGTTTCTGTATATACAGTGCATTTTTTAATTACAAACGAATATATTTTTTTCTCCGCGGAGAGAGTAGTGCAATGGTGAAGTACTGCGGTGTAGGTGTATTTCATCTGCCCGTGAAAATGGCGTTATCTTTTTTTTTCACAACTGGCCTAATGAGAAGAGCAGGCGTGCCCTTGGTTGGTTGGTAAGAACTTTATTGGAAGTCCGGCAGAGCTTTCGCCGACCGGGCCTTAGGCCTCCCGCGAGAGGACGTCAAGACCTTGCCTGACCGCCACCTCGCGGGCCTGCTGGACGGCCCAAAGTTGGTCACCGCGGCTGGGGCTGCTCAGGGCAGCGGTCAACCGCGGTGGAAGGGTTCCGGATTTAGCACCTTGCGGATTTCTAGCGCAGTCCCAGAGCATGAGATTTAATGTGGCAACCTCACTATGGCATATCTTGCATATAATCGTCGGATATATATTGGGGTATAGTCTGTTAAACAGCGACGGGTTGCGATACGTGTGCGTCTGTAGCTGTCGTAGAGACACCACCTGCATCCTGTTCAGCTTCTCGCTGGGTGGAGGAAAGGTTTGGCGGGCCAGGTGGAAAGCCTTGGTAATTTCATTATAGGTCGTCAAACGGTCTTTGGTGTTTCCCCATAGAGGACGGTCGCCGGCGCGGTTCACGAGCTCGCGCGCCTTGGCGAGTGCCCTCTCGTTTAGGTTGCGCTGTGTCTCCGATACCTCTCCCATGTGAGCCGGGAACCACAGGAGTCTGGTCTGAAGCTCTGCCTCTTGATAAAATTTTCTATTGCGCAGGCATTTCTGTGGCATCGCTAGTGACAGTGAACATGAGAAAACGAGTGATCGCTGATTAATTTGCCACTCTTGCGATTGCACACGACACATGAAATAATTTACCGGCCACGGTGGTGGCTAAGGCATTCGGCTGCTGACCCGCAGGTCGTGGAATCGAATCCCGGCCGCATTTTCGATGGAGGCGTAAACGCTCCAGGCCCGTGTGCTCAGATTAAAACGATACTGAACGAAAATTGGGAAAATTGACGAAACTTGTAAATTTGTCTCGGAAGATGCCACTGTTCCGATAAACGGAGTTTATTTTCCGTATTTTTGAACATGTGGTTGTATATTTTTGACGAATCATTTCCGGAGCCCTTCGCTACGGCGTCTCTCATAATCATATGGTGGTTTTGGGACGTTAAACCCCGCGTATCAATCTATCAATCAACGAATTGTCAGCGCGCGGTGGCTGCTCGCGAGCCGTGACGTCCAATTCACCGAGGCGCATGGAGAATGCACGCGTTCCCGTCTTCATCTTTCTTTTCTCCACCTCTCATTTCATTTTGACCCCTCTGGGGGGTGTTACATAAGGGTTGGATATAGAGATATTATACAAAATGGTAAGCACGTATGTTATTTGCGAGCGAGGTAATGTGTTACACTTTGCAATAATAAAGTCGGACAGGTAATGACGACATTGCTGTGGGAAAGGTCGTTCCATTCAGATGATGACCGTAAAAAAAAAGGAGGCAGAAAGTGTCTTGGTATAGCTATATTTCTCCTTTCTGGCTGTATTTCACCTTGGTGTGGTTGTTTCTCTCTTTTCATCCACTCTTTCACTTCCATAACAGCGCTGGTGCTTCGCCCCAGCCGGAAGCATTGTTCGCTGCGTTTGCTGTTCATACCGGTACAGGGGACCGAAGTGAAACTACTGTAACCGCTTAATGTGTGAGGTGGCCAGGTTCTCTTCAAGCTGCTCAGTGCAGCTTTTTCAAACCCTGATTTCCTCGCAACCTTGTTGCGCAATAAACTTAATTCAATTCAAGATGAGGGAGTCGAGAGACGCGAGCGATGGCTGGCATTGTTGGATTGCCAGCATGGATGAAGAAAAAAAAAGGAGGGAGCATTATATGTCACACGAGTGAAGCCCACCTTCTCAGCCCAACACGTGATCAAAACGTCAGAGCTTGAAGTAGGTTTCAGTACTCTCGAATACTTCTAGAACACTGTACTCTCGGTGTAGTGAGTGTGAAGCTGTGAATTGAGGCTAACCCGTCCCCATGGCGCGGGCTAGCCTTTTCGCCCTTTTCTGCCGTTCTCATGTCCAAATATGACTCTCCCCGTCTCCGCGGTTGGTCAATGCAGAGAGCGGGAGAGACGTTGACCTCTCACCCGGAACCGGACGTCAATTGTGGTGCCATGCTCGAAGTCTCACAAGATGTTTAGCGCAGCGTAGTGTACACGTATCTCACAGCAGTGCGGCCACTCACATGGATTAGGCCTTAGCGAGCAACTGGGCCGCGTTCACCGTCTCCTCATGTAAGCTAACGCTGCTGTACACGTGTGTTACAGCCAAGCGCAGCGCGGCAAGTACACAGCAGTGCTATAAAAAATCGCAACACGTTTATTGCCTGCGGCAACACCAAAAACGCAGTAGAGTGCCCGTTACAAATGCGCTGGGAAGGTGAAAGAGGCTTATCCATGCCATGGGCGAAAGTACAACACAAAGGTGCCGCGAACACCCAGACAACACACAACATCCAAAGGACTTCCCCCAAAAAAAATCCCGACGTCCCACATCCTAACGCGGGGTTCTTTTTAGATGTCCTTTGGACATGTGCATATGGGTCATCCCAACAGGGTGGTTCTTGAGATGTCCTTTGGAGATGTGCATAGGGATCATTCCTAAAACACCCTTTGTGGGCTCTGTTTGGCAGTTCAATTTAGCGGTGAATTCACCGTGTTGAAAATTGGCCATCTATCGGAAACTGTGATTCCAACGGAGTGCACGGTTTGTGCGCGTGCACGATTGTCTTGCACACAAAAAATAGTAATATTTGTATCGTGCTTTTATAAGAAGGTTTATCTCTTTTTTTGCTTTACCTTAGAAATCACGAAACTCGTAGCAGGGCAGCCATAAAGTTAATATATTAACTCTATGAGGGCACCAGTCACTCTGGTGATTCTAGCTCGCTGCACTTGGCTGCCGAGGTCACGAGCGGAGGTTGACACTTTATAAAAACACGTATGCTTACCACTAAGATATCAAGTTTAGAAGAAATGAATAAATTTTATTGTTATTTTATTGTTTTCTCTCTTTGGCATGCAGGTATATACTTTATATTTGCGCTTACCGAGAGCCAACACAACGCAGCCATTGCCATCACCGTGATCGCACCGAGCAGCGCGACCACGGTAGGGTGGCTAGCCACCCTAGCGCTGCTGTGAAAAGGTGCTGGGCGTTCCTCTAGTACACTGTAGCCGGGGTGCACGTTGCCGCCATTGTTGCAACCATAGAGGTTCATACAATACTTACTAGAGGAAACTGTAGCGCTAGTGTCTATGAGAGCTGCAGCGCACCGCGCTTCAGCGAGCATGGGAATTATGGGTAGTACACACATTTGTCTAATATTCATACTTCTGGCCTGCTTTTGGCTCCGTGTGTGTTTGAGTGGCCTGGAACTGTTTTCTTACGAAACAAGTATTAGCAAATGATCAGCGGTTGCGCTTCCCCATTGTATTTTTTAGACTTACTTTCCAAATTGGCTCACGAAATTCAAAAGGGTTCAATCTTTCATTCAAAGCAAAACCGAAACACAGCAATAAACGAAGCCGCAAGTACGATTCGCCGCCCGCAAGTACGATTCGCCGCCCGCAAGTACGAAGGCTAGGCAAATCTGTGTACTAACCACATTCCCATGGTCGCTGAATGACAGAGTGCCCTCTAGT